TGAAATTACTTGAAATACGAGTTACTTGAAATTTCAAGTATTTTACTTCAAATATAAAAAAAAAAATTCTCTGGCTGTGTAGTGGGCAGCTTTTCCAGTCGCTTCGACTAATGTTTCATCGCATAACGGCTCATTTGGTATTTACGGTGGTATTTACGCTCATTTCATCTCCTGAAAGGATTACCACTCAGCGATTTTCCTGACAGAACCATCTGGCGAGAATTTATCGATTTCGGAATATCCTTGGCATGTTTTGAGCATCAGCACCTTGCACCGGATATTACTACTCGTAGATGACCTTGCTTACTGTGGCTTTAATCTTCGTGGATTTTAGAGATCTGGACGTTTGGCACACTTTTCTGTCCCCGAAAATTCATAGTCATTTTTAACGGATGTCTTTTTCAAAGATAGAAGTCAAAACTCCTGTTATTTTCCACTTTTCACGAAAAATGAAGACATTTGGAAGTGGCTGGAGGGGCAGAAGTTTGTCGACAGTAACCATCTGCTGGCAAAACTGTAACAATTCCTCTCTCTACTTCGGAGATAGTTTAAAAACAAGTTGTTGACGATTGTGAGTGCCCGATGTGCTCCAAATTACTTTTTTTTTCAGGACCTGTACGAAATGTTGAATATGTTTGTCGAAGTGTGGACTAAAGAAATAAATGAGCTGGATGAGATGAGCAGGCAGAGTTGGCACGACCAAATCGATGCTGTAAGTTATCACTACTACTTTTATACTTACTTTATTCAGCACACCAATATTTGTAGCGTTTTTTTCGAATTACGGGCAATTTTTGCATTTACTGTGACCAGTGTTACACCATGGCTTTTCTGGTGATCAGGCCGTGGCTATTCTAGCGTTCTTTTCGTTTCAGATGGAATTAGGAGCTAAACTTGCGTCGCTACAGAAGCACTTTTTTTAGGGTTTAGCATTTCAAAATGTCAGTAGTGTGTGTGTATTTGCATGCTTATTGTGTGTGTGCTAAACTGGTTGCCAATCCTGGAACAAATGGGAATCTTTATCGACAACCGTCCGAGAAATTAGCGTGGTTATCCTATGTTGTTGTGACTCTCTTGCACGATGCCAAAACCACTCCTGCATTTATAGGGGCGTTTCTGCTACGTATACGAGAACGCTCTTTCGACTTATCGTACTGAAAAGCGCACCAAAAAAATATAATTGACCAACGCACGGGCTGCCCGTGCGAAGATCCGTTTTTTGCTTAGCTCCCCGCAGATTTTTGTCGCTGACGGCACTGGTTTTTCTGGCAGATGCTTCTAGCTAAAAGAATTTCATACTGGCCGCCAGGACTGTCAGGAAACATCCCTTCAAAGTTCCAGTCTTCTACCTTCTCACGTTCCCGAGTTAGCAACTTACCTGGAAGAAACTTTCACGGGCCTGTACGTAGGTATCACGCTTATCCGCGGGCAGGGTTTGAACTCGTTAATACTCACTCGGACTGGGAACTTCCTCCTAAGATTTCAGATTCTGGCTTCTCAGATCCCTGAGTTATGAACTTACCTCAAGAAAATTTTGGCGGGCTCGTACACGGGTACCATGCTTACCCGAGGGCTAGTTTTGAGTTCATTAATACCTACATGGACGGAGGACATCCCTTTAAAATTCCAGCCCCCAAGCACTTCTGATCCCCGAGTTAGCAGTTTACCCGCAAAAAACTTTGGCGGGCTCTTACGTGGGTACCACGCAGGTAATGGCGCCCATTTTGGGGGTTGGGGCCCGTACGTGCATGTAGACTAAGTTCCCAAAGTTTCAGCCCCGTAACTTTTGTAGGTCTTGTGATGAAAAAGCGTGACAAACGCACACACACACACACACACACACACACACACGCACACACACACACACACACAACCCTTCGTCAATATGCGTTTTCTGCATTGTATAACTGCAAAAAAGACATAAAACAGTGGCCCCGATAGCTTCACAACTACACTTTGATAGGCGATAAAAGCACGATGCCAGGGCAATTAGTTGAACACGAAGACTACTTGTGGATTTGATGTTTGGACTTGATGCAAATAAAGGGCACATTAGTGTTGCTGGCACAGTGTAATCTTGTAAAATTTTCATAATATAAAACCTGTGCGCGCGATCGTTCCTCACCCTTTCTTCTCCAGTCTCTTGTCGGCTATGCCTTGCATTCTGAACGGTGCTAGAAAGCACCTACTTT